GATACTTTACTAAACTGTATTATTCACAATCTTTCAGTTTGTAAGTCACGTCACATGTGAATGTGTAATTTTATTCTTTTCTTCTATGATACCATTGTGATACTTTACTAAACTGTGTTATTCACAATCTTTCAGGAAGTAAGTCACGTCACATGTGAATGTGTAATTTTATTCTTTTCTTCTATGATACCATTGTGATACTTTACTAAACTGTGTTATTCACAATCTTTCAGGAAGTAAGTCACGTCACATGTGAATGTGTAATTTTATTCTTTTCTTTTATGATACCATTGTGATACTTTACTAAACTGTGTTATTCACAATCTTTTAGGAAGTAAGTCACGTCACATGTGAATGTGTAATTTTATTCTTTTCTTCTATAATACCATTGTGATACTTTACTAAACTGTGTTATTCACAATCTTTCAGTATGTAAGTCACGTCACATGTGAATGTGTAATTTTATTCTTTTCTTCTATAATACCATTGTGATACTTTACTAAACTGTGTTATTCACAATCTTTCAGTATGTAAGTCACGTCACATGTGAATGTGTGATTTATTCTTTTCTTTTATGATATCATTGTTATTCACAATCTTTTAGCTTGTAAGTTATGTCACATGTAAGTTTGTAATTTTATTCTTTTCTTCTATGATACCATTGTGATACTTTACTAAACTGTGTTATTCACAATCTTTCAGGAAGTAAGTCACGTCACATGTGAATGTGTAATTTATTCTTTCTTCTATGATACCATTGTGACACTTTACTAAACTGTGTTATTCACAATGTTTCAGGCAGTAAGTCACATCACATGTGAATGTGTAATTTTATTCTTTTCTTCTATGATACCATTGTGACACTTTACTAAACTGTGTTATTTGCAATCTTTCAGTCAGTAAGTCACATCACATGTGAATGTGTAATTTTATTCTTTTCTTTATGATACCATTGTGATACTTTACTAAACTGTGTTATTTAGACTGTAAGTCACGTCACATGTGAATGTGTGATTTATTCTTTTCTTCTATGATATCATTGTTATTCACAATCTTTTAGCTTGTAAGTTATGTCACATGTAAGTGTGTAATTTTATTCTTTTCTTCTATGATACCATTGTGATACTTTACTAAACTGTGTTATTCACCATCTTTAGAATGTAAGTTACATCACATGTGAATCTGTAATTTTATTTTTTTCTTCTATGATACCATTGTGATACTTTACTAAACTGTATTATTCACAATCTTTCAGCAAGTAAGTCACGTCACATGTGAATGTGTGATTTATTCTTTTCTTCTATGATACCATTGTGATACTTTACTAAACTGTGTTATTCACAATATTTCAGTCAGTAAGTCACATCACATGTGAATCTGTAATTTTATTCTTTTCTTCTATGATACCATTGTGATACTTTACTAAACTGTGTTATTCACCATCTTTAGGATGTAAGTCACGTCACATGTGAATGTGTGATTTATTCTTTTCTTCTATGATACCATTGTGATACTTTACTAAACTGTGTTATTCACAATATTTCAGTCAGTAAGTCACATCACATGTGAATGTGTAATTTTATTCTTTTCTTTTATGATACCATTGTGATACTTTACTAAATTGTGTTATTTAGACTGTAAGTCATGTCACATGTAAATGTGTAATTTATTCTTTTCTTCTATGATACCATTGTGATACTTTACTAAACTGTGTTATTCACAATATTTCAGCCAGTAAGTCATGTCACATGTGAATGTGTAATTTTATTCTTTTCTTTTATGATACCATTGTGATACTTTACTAAACTGTGTTATTCACAATTTTTTAGATCGTAAGTCATGTCACATGTGAATGTGTAGTTTTATTCTTTTCTTTTATGATACCATTGTGATACTTTACTAAACTGTGTTATTCACAATCTTTTAGATCGTAAGTCATGTCACATGTGAATGTGTAATTTTATTCTTTTCTTTTATGATACCATTGTGATACTTTACTAAACTGTGTTATTCACAATCTTTCAGGCAGTGAGTCACATCACATCTGAATGTGTAATTTTATTCTTTTCTTCTATGATACCATTGTGATACTTTACTAAACTGTGTTATTCACAATCTTCAGGAAGTAAGTCGTGTCACATGTGAATGTGCAATTTTATTCTTTTCTTCTATGATACCATTGTGATACTTTACTAAACTGTGTTATATTCACAATCTTTCAGGAAGTAAGTCATGTCACATGTGAATGTGTAGTTTTATTCTTTTCTTTTATGATACCATTGTGATACTTTACTAAACTGTGTTATTCACAATCTTCCAGGCAGTGAGTCACATCACATGTAAATGTGTAATTTTTATTCTTTTCTTTTATGTTTTAATGTTGTTATTCAGCCAATAGTAAGTTTGGAATAAATTTTTTAATGCAATAGATTTTCGCTTCACATTTATAGGATATAAGTGAGTAATCGCTTTGTATACACTTGTAAACTCTGTGGAGGATTCACTTTACATGCGTATTGTGAGTACCCATTGATATTTATCTTACATACTTAGGTGCCTATGAGAGAGCTCTCAAAGAACAAGGAAGTGCTGATGTAGCGTATGCTCGTCTTATGTTACTGGGATCAGCTGGTACTGGTAAAACATCTCTCAAGCGTTCATTAATGGAAGAACCTTTCAATCCTCATACTACAAGCACCATTATATCTGATGTTTTCTCTGTACGACCATTTGGACACAAGTGGCAAACAATGAGAGGAAACAAATGGAGAGAAGCTACAGAAGAAGACGAAATTGATGAACTTGCACATTTGTTTAAATCCTTTCAGTCTAGATCGCCCTCACACCATCCATCTGTATTGAGTGCAGAATATTCTCATGATGATTCAGATGCATTAGTTTCTACTAGTTCAATAGCTTCTGATTGGAATGTAGAGATTCGTATCAAATCAATACTTAAAAAAGCTAAAGGTTCCACTGATCAGATAAAAGAATCACTTGTTCAAGTGAGTCTTGTTTACTTACTTTTAGCATTATGATATACCAATCTGTATATATAGCCATTTCTTCATATATGGGATTGTGGTGGTCAGCCAGTGTTCCTTGAGATTCTTCCAGCCTTCCTCACTCCTCGTACAATGTTTCTCCTCCTGTTTGATGCTTCAAAGGATTTCAGAGAAAGATGGCAGTCACGTCAGAATACTTCTGATGGTAAAGTGCTGTTTGGTGAGGTAGTGAATGAAAGCACAAGTGATTTAATGGTCAAGTGGATGTCTACAATACACAGTCACCTCATAAAGCACAGCAAAGATGATACTTCCTTTTCCTAATCTCTACTGTATTGGCACTCGTGGTGACAAGCTAGAGGAAGGAAAAAAAGAACAAGTAAAGAAGCAAATAAAGTCCCTGTACAAGGAAAAAGAGTTCTCAGATCTTATTAAAGATGTGCTCATTATAGATAATACAACCTCAGGCAAAGGAGGAAGAGAAGATCTAAATATTACAAAATTACGTGGAGCCATTGATACCTTTATCAATACATTAGGTTGTTCCAACCCCTGTCAATTGGGTCCTCTTCCGTAAATTTTTTCAAGAGCTAGAGCTGAATATCATTAGTGTATCTGATGCCATTGCCATTGGAGTGGCGTGCCATATACCAGCAGCTGATGTTCCTGAAGTATTAAAATTCTACCATGAGCTGGGAGCTGTGCTTTACTATCCTCAAATAAAAGGTCTCAAAAATAAAGTCATTCTGAGTCCAAAATGGTTTGTTGGTGTCATTGGGAAAGCATTCCCACTGGATAAAGGGTGGAGTGAAACATATACATGTAGATGGTGTTTGTTACAAACTAAAGGTATTCTTGTTCAACCACTCTATAAAGAGATATGGCAGTCAAGTGGTATTGATCCAGAAGAAATAATTGAACTTTTAGTTCATTTTCGTCTTGCAGCTCAAGTTCAAACCGAACATTATGATAGCACATTCAAGCAATATTTTCTTCCAGCAGTGCTACCAGGATACACAGGTGACCCTAATGAAGTACGGCCTGGTTATAAGCTAAGAGCCTCACCTGTACACATTACATTCTCCACTGGGTATGTACCTCCTGGCTTCTTCACTCGTTTAGCAACTGCTGTAGCCACTGATACCAATGTTAAGCTCAATTTTGATAATGTTTATGTAGCACCTGCTGTTGGTTTCTTTGATCGATTAGCTATTACCATGAATCTTCGTTCCAAAGTTGAGAGAAGAAGCATCTATCGTAATCGTGTCTGCTTCTCTTATGGTCATCCTTCTGATGATTTTGTTCTCACTGATATTAATGAAGCTATTCAAGTTGATGTGTTGAGATATGTCCCTGAGAGTAGGCATCCTCTTTCTTTGAAAACAGTTTGTCAGCAAATATTGAAGTTACTAGATGATTGTTGCCAACAAGTAGAAGAAACTCTGATTCTTTATCATCACCATAATGATCGATCATCAAGAAAAATACAATATGTGTGTCGATGCAGACATTCAAAGGAAGTTCATTACATTAAAGACATTGATGCTGAGAAGCAGATGTGCTCTGATCCTGTTTACTGCAAAAAGGAAAGACGCCCTCGCTCCCTAACTAATAATGAGTCACTGTGGTTTAAAGAAAAGACAAAACATATGCCACAAGAAAAACAGCTCCAATTAGAGGTATAAAATAATTATGTTAAATGACATTATTTTTGTTTTACCTCTATAATCTAGACTTCACCTAGACTTGTAGACCTAAAAGAGGATAATGATGATGATGATGATGATACTAGTAAGTGACAGGCAGATACTATATGACATACATTTTATTCTGTATAATAGCTCTATTAATTCAAAAGGTCAAATCAACTACTAATTACTCACCCACACAGATCAGTGAGTCCAATGATGATCAACAAGTAGATGTGATCATTCACTGTCACTATTTTTACATTATTTATGTACTTATTGTTAATTTAGATATTATTCTTCAAAAGCTAACATTACTAACGTCAAATTTGGAGCGTGGTATTAAGGTAATTAACATCAGAAACACTCCTCATCATCATTATTTTACTATATTGTGTGTGTAGGGAGATGGAGGAGTAAAGTATAATAATAATAAAGATAAAGGAACTACAACCAACACTTTGAATGGATCTCAGGAACATGGAAGTACTTCAATAGAGAAAGGACAGTCTGGTAAGATATGTACACATCATCCATTAACAAACATTATTATAATTATTGTACATTGAACTATACAAACATTATGTGTATGTATCAAGTATTATTGGTATTTAATATAATGTATAGATATTGATGTACTTAAGATCAATGATGAAGTACAAGAAACACTCACTGATAAACTGCTTGGTAAGACTATAAGAGAGTATATAGTACTGTTATTATTATCATGCAGGTATTACAGATCTTGCTACAGTCCTTCAAGAATTAACATTAAATCAACAGTTTGATTATGCCAACAACTGGAAACAGTTAGGCCTGTACTTAGGATTATATGAGCGTACACTAAATGCAATTGAAGTAAACTGCAGAGGACAAGTATGGAAATGTCTAATGGGATGTCTATCTTCCTGGCTAAAGGGAGAGGATGGAGTAAGAGAAACAAGAGGAGGTGGATCAAACTGGATATCATTAGTAGCAGCACTAGATGCAATGGGAGAGAGGGAGGTTGCTGATAACATTAGAAAAAAATATCTGGAGCCCCTTAATGAGCGTCCATATTAATAAAGTTATCTTATTATATTTTTACTGGGTATATAGTTAAAATTAATTTTTACAAAAATATTATTTTTTATTATTTAAAATAATAATGAAAGAAGGAGGTAATAATAATAATTGATAGAGAGATGATGATAGTTAAAGAATAGCACAAAGACTGATGGACGGATTCTTTTCATTTCTGTAATGCAATACTGGACAGGTTTATCAAGAACAAGCCTTTTGCTGCTTATTAACTTATTGCAGTGATAATAATTTATATTTGGCAATGTGTACATAAAATTAATGCTTAGCTATTTGCTCAACTGCTTTTATTAAAATTGTAATTTAAGTTGTAAAAATTCTCTGAGAGAAATAAGCAGCTTTTCTTTGCTGTACTCTGTCCCCCAGTGACATCATTAGACTCATAAACTCCAAGAGATCAAAGGAATAGTTAGTGAATTTAGCATGAGGAGTACCCATTTGAGGATGAAGACCCTGTATAGGAAATAAAGGGAATATTAAAGGTACATAATTATTACTTTTTCTGTATAAAATACATGCAATGTTATGTTAATAATTATATGCAATCACTCCTTAGGATTTTGTCATTATGAGTTATGAAGTATAAAATTTAAAAATAATAGAAAGTTTGAGTTGATTCTTAGACCACATTTTTTCACATTCTCAATTTTTATTACACATATTTTTGACAGACACCTACTGGCAGGGCTGCCAATAGGGGGGGGGCAGGTGGGGCATTTTGCCCCGGGCCCCCAAGCCCCTGGTCAGTAGTAAAGTATGCATAGTTTTTTACAGAAAAATATTAATGAATTTAAGTTAACTCTTGCTGGGCCATTTTGTTAATCACTGTTATTAATAAGGGGGGGGGCAATTTTTATTAGTAGGGGCCCATCAAAGCTTTTGCCCTGGGCCCCACGTAGCCTATTGGCGGCCCTGCCTACTGGTATACTCTTACTTCTCTCTCTTTCCAAACTTTAGTGTTGTCTTGCCAAGTTAAGTATTCTACACCTCTGAGAGATAGAGAGAAGAAGAGTAATATATTAATTGACTTTTATTGTCTTACCTCAATCTTGCTAGATCTTTATAACACCTCTCATCTTCAGTATTATAGCTATAAAAGAGAGAGAGAGATGTACATGTACAATAAGTTCATGTATTATTTTACATTTCAAATATGGCTCCCCAGTCTGGGAGGAAAAGTAAGTGAGTTAGACCAGAGCCGTGCATCCCAATAAATATATCAGTGTTGTGAGAAGACTGCAGTATAGAGATAGGAATAAAATAAAAATATTTCATTATCAAAATATAAACTACCTCAATCTGTTCAAGAAAGGGGAAATTCCTACAATTAAAGACAACAATGATCATATGCTATTATAATGTATTGTGTCGTAATTGTATTCATTATTATTATGTGTGGCTATTGTTATTGATATAGGAAGTTTTGACTGGAGGCTGACTATGAGATAATGATGACAGTTGGAGTATATAATGATTAATGTTATGAAAGTACAAGTGAGATGCCAAATGAAAAGGATAAGATTACAAGATTAGAGTTATAGCCAATTTTCAATACTAGTATACTAGCGTTACTAGTAAATTATTAGTAAATTATAGTAAATTATTGTTGCACCTGTATTTGTAGTCGACTACTCTTAGCCGAAAATATCCAACTGTTTTCATTGCCTTTATCAACTAAAATGATGTGTAGTTATTATTATTATTATTATTTATGTAGTTACTTCATCTTCATTTACTATTCGTCTGTGTTTGGTTGTTCTTGATAAAAGAGTCACTCTAACTATCGACTCCTAATTATTAAATATAAATAAATAAGTTTATATTTACTTATTTTTATTGTTTATTTCTGTTTACTTTTACCTCTGGTATTTCTTGTGTTATGTTTAGTCTCTTAATTAAATGTTTTGAGAAAGCTTGCATGAGGCCTGATCTATAGCAGCCAGGAACCTACAGTAATACCATAATACAGAATAATACATTTTGGCATTTTCTTAAAATGGCCGTAACTGAAAAATTGAAGTCGGAATCAGCTCAAA